AGCCTTGCCCGAGAGTCCCAGGCAATGTCCGTGGCTACTTCCCGAGAAGTCTTAACTCGCTCTCTCTCTGTTTCTTGCCCAACTGCTCCCTGAACCCCAAGCTCCAATCAGCAGGTATCCCACGGCCTCCTCGGTACCTCTCCTTGGATGTTAAATGGGCATCTTGAACCCAACAGGTCCAAAAACAGAAGACTTGATGGTCACCTGCCAAAACCTCCACCTCAGAAGTGACACTGCCAAATCCTTAGTTCCTGAAGCCAAAAGTCTAAGATGCATCCCTGATCTCTATTGTTCCCTCAACTCCCTTCTCACCAGCTCCAACCCCTAGCCTCATGGACTTCTCCCCAGCCCCAAGCTCCCAAACTAGGCCAGCACCATCTCCTCTCGCCTGCAACCCTGCAATCACCTCCTGGTTTCATTGCCCCCTTCCTCCCTGCCCCTGGGCAGTCCCTCCCAGAAGCCAGAATTCGCTTCTTAAAACAGGTCAGAATCCAGCAGTCACCCACCCAACCCTCTCCAACCCAAGTGCGTGGTCCCACACTTGACGACCGCCCCACTCTCATTCCTGATGCCACAACGGCCTCCTTTCTGTTCTTCCCCAAACACCAAGTTCCCTCTACCCTGGGGTTCTGCTCACTCCTCCTAGCTGCTCTCCCCCTACATTCTTCCATGGCTGGCTCCTTCCTGACATCTGCATCTCAGGTGAAACATCACCTTCTCAGAAAAGCCTCCTCACTCTACCTCTCCCTGGGTTTTACCTCTTAGCAGAGAACCACTACCAGAAACTTCCATGCTCCTTCGCAGATTTACATATTCATCCCTGCCTCCCTCCTGTGAATGTTGTGACCAATGGGCCTGCCTACCTTGCTCACTGTGAACCCAGGGCCCAGCAGAGCCCCTAGCTGCAGCAAATGCCCAGCACATACCGAATGGCGAGGAGTGAGGGGCCAGATTCTGTTCTCAGTCTGCTGTGTGACCTCGGACAGGTCACTTCCCCTCTCTGGGCTTTAGTTTTCCAACTACCAATGAAAGAGACTATAGGCCTCCCAAGTCCCTTTGCCCAACATCTGACCCCTGGGAGCCTGGACGGACTAGCCTAGGCCCCAACACAGGTACATAGGACCTGCCTGAGAGGCCGGAGGAAGGGGTCACCTGCTTTCAGTGAGGCAGAGGGAGGAGTCGCCTGCTTTCAGTGACTACACGGTGTTGACTTTCCTTCTTCAGTGAGTGTTTATTTATTGAGCACATACAGCATGCCGGACCCTACTCCAGGCACCGGGAGCACGGAGAGGCCTTTGGAGATTCTAATAGGATTAAAGAAGCTTTGCAAAGAGGCCGTCTTTGATCTGGGCTAGGTAAATGATTATAAACATGGGCTGGTGCCTCTTCAAGAAAAATGAACCCAGGAAACAAGAATCATGGCAGCTCAAGTGTGTTGGGCACTTACTCTGTACCAGGGCCACCCTTGGGACCTACATCCATCACCTCACTGTCTTCACGATAACCCTGGCGAAGAAGTGCCACAAGGAACCCAGTGAGGAAACTGAGCCACAGGGAAGTGACCCGCCCAAGGTCACATAGTGAGTGTGGGTAAGCCAGGCTAGAATGGGGTCTGAGCTGCAAATTCATAAAAAGTCAGAATGAAGGGACGAGAGATGAGGAAGGCAAAGTTAGGGACCATTGCAGAGCTGAACAGGACCTGAGTTCCCAGAGTGTTGCTAAGCCCCCACCAGGTCTCGGTCCTAGCACTGCTCCCTGCTGGGCAGAACGAGCAACTCCAGGCACATCCACCCTTGGGTTGAGGAAGCAGAGACCACCCCAAGGGCTGCCACGTCTGCACGTCAGGCCAGTGGGGAGGGGGCGGCAGGAGCAAAGCAAGGCCTGCCCTGGAAGCTGGGAGGCCCGGGCCTGGTCCTGAGGAGGAGGGGCTGCCTGACTTCAGTGGTTGTAGCATCTCCTTTAGGAAGCAGGGACCCTGCAGGCTGGACCGCGCCCTGCAGAGGGGGCTTCCTAGAGAAAGATGCCGGGAAGTGGAGAGATAGGAACCAGGCACTTGAGGACCCAGAGGGAGAATGAGCAAAGGCCCAGAGGTGAGACACAGAGATAGCCAAGAAGCTGGGCGGGGGCAGGGTTCACCAGGTGAGAGGCAGGGGGTTCCTGGAGAGAGGGAGATGGGAGAGGGGGACAAAGCAGTGGCTGCAGCACCCTCAGACACAGTGACTCCTGGAGGCCATGCAGGAGAACGCGACCTGGCACCCATTCTCCCGGTGGGGCCCAAGCCACAGGCTTCGACTACCTGGAGTGCTGCCCAGCTGTGGGGCAGGGAGGCCGGGTGTGTGCTGAAGGTGAGCATGGGGTCACCCCTCCCTGGTCCTCAGACCCTAGCTGGGTCAGCTGAGGAGGGGGCCCTCTCCCCTCCTCCCCACGAAAGCCTCACCTCACCAGCCCTGCCACGCCCAGCCAGCTCTCAGAGCTTGGGACTTTTGATGTTTACTTTGTTCTTTCCCCAGTTCAAAAGGAGCTCTGCAGCCCTGGCCCTCGCACCAAGCCCAGCCTTAATCTCCCATCCCTCCCGCTCCCAGCTGGCCAGTTAAGGCGGTTAAGACGCTGGATTAGGGCCGGCTTTACATAACAACGCGGGAGCTAAAGCCATCCTCTCCTGGGATGGCTAAAAGACTTCTTTTTATCTTCACGCCTCAGATGGCCTTTTTTCTCTCTTAAACAGCTCTCCAGCCCGCCAAGAGGCAATGAACTTGGCCAACAGGAAGACAAAGAAGAGATTCAGGACTCGGCTTTTTCTCCCTTGGCCAGTAGCACAGAGGGACCCCCCAGTCCCAGGTCCGGAGCAGACAGTTGGTTTTCTGTGGCCAGAACTCAGTAGCACCTGCTCTCACCAGACCTAGCCATGTGGTGGCCTGCCACCCACACCATATTGCCCACCCTGGGGTGGGCGGCCTCGGACCACAGGACCAAGGGTGCCAGAGGACCACAGATGGCCACTGGGTCCAGGGTCCCTCATGGGGTCTTAAGGGCCACACGGACAGGTCCAAATGCCCACCTGACTCAAACCAGAGTAGCTCTGCTCCTGCTGCCTTATTTACGGTTTTCACTTTTAAATACTGACATTAGTTTTTAAATTCATAAGGAATACATAATTATCTTTTTTGATTTTTTTAAAAAATATAATTTTAGAATTATTGATAATAGAGACAGGGTCTCGCTATGTTGCCCAGGCTGGTCTTGAACTTGTGAGCTCAAGCAATTCTCCAGCCTCAGCCTCCCAAAGTGCTGAGATTATAAGCATAAGTCACCATGCCCAACTATGTTCTTCTTTTATAAAAGTTTAACCATGAAATGCAGATAACACAGACTTAAGTCTCCTCCCATGTTTGGAAAGAGCTATGGTTATCATCTGTCTAGGCCTCTATCCACACAGTCATATGCATATGTGGTACCCTAAGAAACTCCTGAGGATGGTCTGGTGCCTTCTTTTATGTAAGAGATATCAGACTGTATGCACACACAAAGCTTTCTGTTCACAGGATTCCTCCCCCTTGATCTGGGGCCTGCTTACATTTGAACAAAGTTTGCTAGATACCTGGCTCTCCAGCCTGCCTCCAACTTCTAGGCAACAGAGTGAGTATCTTCAAACAGTGCTTCTCCGAGTGTAGTGTGCATGCAAGTCACCTGGGGAGCTTATTAAAATGCAGATCGGATTCAGCAGGCCTGGGCTGGAGTGAAGATTCTATATTTATAACAGCTCTCAGGCCAGATGTGGCCACAGTCCTCAGGTCTGGCCCAGGCTCCCCTCTCTTGCGGCCCTTCGGACACCCACAGGCCTGGATCCCCCTCTGCAGACCCTTGCACCATGGCCCCCCAGCTCTCCAGCCAGCTGTCTGCCTGGTCTCAGCAGAGATGTCCTTCCTTACTCTCGTAAGGCAGCCCTCCATTTGGTGATTTCTTCCCGTTTCTGAATTTAAAATTTCCCATTCAGCAAACACTCTGCTTCACGCTGTCATCCGTTCCTGGCACCAATTCTGGGAGCCAAGCAGAGCAAAGGCCCTTGTTCCCATTCTATAGATGTGGAAACTGAGGCTCAGAAAGGTGGGGTGGCCTGCCCAAAGTCAAACCAGCACACCAGCAGCCAGCAGATCCTCTACTTGAGTATCCTGATTCTCTCTACAACACGGCGCTTCACCATGAAGAAGGCAGCGGTTAAGTGCAGTGGCTCATGCCTGTAACTCCAGCACTTTGGGAGGCTGAGGTGGGAGGGTTGCTTGAGGCCAGAAGTTCAAGACCAGTCTGGGCAACATAGTGAGACCCCGTCTCTACAGAAAAATTTAAAAATTAGCTTGGCATGGTGGGGTGCAACTGTAGTCCTAGCTACTTGAGAGGCTGAGGTGAGAGGATCACTTGAGCCCAGGAGGCCAAGGCTGCAGTGAGCAATGATTACCTACTGCACTCCAGCCTGGGTGACAGAGCAAGACCCCGTCTCAAGAAAGGAAGGAGGACGACACAGGAGAGAGGTGAGAGGCTAGCTCTGTGTGTGTGTGTGTGTGTGTGTGCGCGCGCGCGCACTCATGCACCAAGGGAGTGACACGATGGAGGAAACGGAATAGGCACTGTGTGTAATGCTTACTCCATGCCTAACACTGCCTGATCACACTTCACACACCACTCTGAGCAGCCACTCTTATTATCCCCAGAGGAGCAGCAGAGTTTCAACAACCTGTCCGAGGTCCCCCAGCTAATCTGGTGCAGGGTCAGGACATGGACCTAGGTGACCAGGCCGCCACTTGGGCTTGGACCTATGAAGTGCCACATCTGAGTCTTACTCCTCTCCTCCATCTCACCCTCTAGTCCACCCCCACCCAGAGTCACAAGGTCCCTGTTGTGCCCTCCGTCTGCAGATTTTCTGGAACATGCAGGGCACACGGCCAGCTGGACACCGGCTTCCCCCACTCGCTGCTGCTGAGAAGAGAGCAATGGACTCCGAGTACCTTCCAGCCGGAAGTCGTCCTCCTCTTCCTCGCTGAGCGTGTCTCTCAACACGTCACCCACGAGCTCCTAGAAGACAAAGCAGAGGCATTGAGCAGGGGTTAGGGGGAGTCCAGTGCTGAGACATTAAAAGTGGCGCCTTGAAGACCCTGGGCTGATTCTTCTGATGGGAATTCAGGTCAACTGAGGCAGATCCTATCGCACCTGAAAAGTTAAGCACCAAGGTGGGTCCCTCCTGCCCTTAACATAAACGCACACGTATCAGCACAACATTCAGGCCCCTGCAGGCTATGGCTCCACCTGGTCTTCCATCATGCCTCCCATATTTCACCAACACACATGCTTTCCGGAAACCAGCCTGATTCCTTGCACTCACCCTGCCTGTTCCCCACCAGTGAGTTAAGGATATCTGGGATCTCATCCCAACTAACCTGACCAGGAGGTGTCAAGTTAGCGAGGGGAGTGTTGCTGGTCCACAAGCTGGGAAATTTCTAGGATATCAACAAAGGCCCCATCTGTCTGACCCACCCTAGCAGGATAACTCCAAATATGGAAGAAGCTAGACCATACCTTGTCAAACTGTCTTCTGTATTTATTGGTATTCTGCCAGAAGACTTCCATGATCAAAGAAGGTTCTTTTAAACAAAGTTAAACAAGATCCCTTACAGCAGGACTTATCAGGACTTTTCCTATGGTTCTAAACACTGTGAATCTCCAAGTGCTGGCATATTTTGCATTCTCCAAACTTACTCAGACCATGGAGCTTCGTTTTCCAAAAGCATCACAAGATTCGTGTCCCAAGAAACCCGCTTTAGGAAATACTCCTGTTATGGGAGGACAGACAAGGGTTTGGGGGGATGATAATGCTATGGTAGTGCTTCTCAAAACACAAAATGACAAGCAATAAAAAAGCCCAAACTCAGCAGCTGTCACCAACTTCTCTTTGTAAAAATAAAAGAGAGAGAGAAAAAAAAAAAAACCCAACCCTTTCCTTGGGAGAAAAAAAAAATTCTGCACCTCAGATGATGCTTAAAAAAAAGCCAGTCCTCATCTTGATGAACAAAAGAAAAACACGGCTTTGTATTGCTGATCTCATCAACTGGACACAGCTGGAGGTAAGCCTCTTGCTTTTTTTTTGTTTTTTGTTTTAAAGACAAACAGCTAACATTTTGTGGCTATTCTCTTTCTTCTTTCAAATCTTTCTAGGGCATTACACACTCTTTCTTAAAAGCTGTTAAAATGTGGCCATTCAGACTCTGGTGTCCCATTTACTTCAAAACCAGGCTACTTTATTCCTCGAGTCAGGATGGCTTCCCTCTCCTCCTCCGCCAATTATTATAATCATCGAACATTTCCTGGGCTTGTAAACTGGCTGTTTGTGTTAACAGAGCCTGAGTTGACAGGGGAGCTGGGAGACGATGACAGGAAAGGGATGCACACAGGTGGCATCATTAGACGCCCCAGCAGCCAATTAAAGCCCATCCTTCATGCAGGAGAAAGACGGGTGCCGCCGCCCCCTGAAAGGCTGGTAGGCAGAGCTTCCTCGAGGGAACAGGCAACGGTCTTCAAGAGCATCTGTGCACCTCTTCACACTGAGGTCTTCTGCAGAGGGGGGCTCTGCGCCTGCCACCCTGACTGCACCGCAGCCGGGTGACAGCATCAATGAGACATCTGAGTACTCGTGTCTTTTTACTGGCACACTTGGAAGAGTTTAAAGACTCCAGACATCGCCACCAACAAGGCAACCGTGTGGGACCCTATAACGATGACCACGTGTGCTCAAGGCACCCCGGTCATCACCGATGACAGCTTCAGCACTCCCTTTTCAGAGGACCAAGCTCTCTGACACACCCAGAAAGCAGAGTTCTGGCAAGTTCCGGGATAGGCCTCTCACCACTCAACAGCACCTTGCTCCGAAGAACACTGGAAAGCTCCCTGGAGCCATGGTCCATGGACGCACTGTGCTGTGCCAATGCTCAACTTTGCAAAAATTCTCTCTCCCCGGCCGGGCGCAGTGGCTCACGTCTGTAATCCCAGCACTTTGGGAGGCCGAGGCAGGTGGATCACGAGGTCAGGCAACCTGGCCAACATGGTGAAACCCCGTCTCTACTAAAAATACAAAAAATTAGGCGGGCGTGGTGGCAGGCGCCTGTAATCCAACTACTTGGGAGGCTGAGGCAGAAGAATCATCTGAACCTGGGAGGTAGAGGCTGCAGTAAGCTGAGATTGCGCCACTGCACTCCAGCCTGGGTGACAGTGTGAGACTCCGTCTCAAAAAAAAAAAAAAAAAAAAAAAAAAAAGGGCATCCCCTCCACTGAGCCACACAGCCAGGGTCTGCGGTGTGCAGTGTGCATGCTCCTAGAGCTTTGAGTCTCTAGGCCAGAAGCCATGTGGGATGTGGAGCCAAACACAGGATCACATCCTGGCTGTACCGCCTGCCTCGCCTTTGACCTCAGTCTACATATTTGTAAAATGGGCACTGTCATCAACCACAATAATAACCAAACAGCTGACACTTACTGTGCATTTTCCATGTGTCAGGCACCATGCTAGACACTTTATATATACAGTCATTCCTCGGTACCTGCGGGCAACTGGTTCCAAAACTCCCTGAGGCTACCAAAATCTGTAGATGCTCAAGTCCCATATATAAATGGTGTAGTATTTGCATATAACCTACAAACATTCTCCCCTATACTTTAAATAACCTCTAGATTACTTACAATACCTAACAGAGTGTAAATGCTATGGAAATTGTTGTTATACTGTATTGCTTAGGGAATAAGGACAAGAAAAGTCTGTATGTGTTCAGTACGGATGCTTTTTTGTTTCCAAATATTTCCTATCTATGGTTGGCTGAATCCATAAATACAGACCCCATGGATATGGAGGGCCAACTGTGTAGACGTGTATTTATTAACCCCCTGAATCATCACAACAGCCCTGGTCTTTCCATCTCTCAAGAAATAGATGCTCATTAAAATGATTTGCAAACTGTGAAGTGAGAGGTATAATCGTTACCGTTATTATCTACAAAGAAAGTGGCCTCAACCCTGAAGGACCGTATGAGACCAGAAACAGTGCTGATGACAGTCACCCTTCATTTACCAAGTGCTCACAGTGTGCGAGGTACTGACCAATGGGATCCTCACAGGAGGCTCCGGAGAATGGCCTCCCCACAGCCCTGCATCTAAGTGGCTAAGAGGCTCCAAGAGGCTGCGATCCCCTCTGGATCACCTGCCAGCAAGGGGCGGAGTGGGGACTCAAGCCAGCTCTTTCAGGTGCCTCAGCCCGGGCTCCTACTCATGCAACCAGGGCTCCTGTGGGCATGGGAGCAGAGGTAGCCAGGAGTCCTGGCACCTACCAGGGACCAAGGATCACACCTAAAGGAGTACAAGAAAAATAGTCCAGCCAGCAGCTCCCGTGGGTGAGTGGTCAATGGCTCCCATCTGCCTAGCAAGACTCAAAGCTCCCCTGCTGCTCCCCACAACTTGAGGACTTAGCCCTGCCCTCAAGCTGAGCCCTGGCTGGCAGCCTCACATGTCAGGGCCAGGGCCAGGCCGTCGGCACCACCCTTCGGGAAGGCAGCTGTTGCCGGGAGACACACTCCGACCTTCGACGGCGCCACTGGGAGCCCCCGTGCAGAGGGCATGGAACTGGAGGTGGTCAGACCTTGGTTCAAATCCCAGCTCTGCCTCACATGTGCTGCGCCACCTGGCGGAAGGAACTTTATCTCTAGTGCACCTCAGTCTCCCCATTCGTAAACGGGGCAACAGCAATCAGGATATCTGAGGGGGGCAGTGTGAGAAGTGAGGAAGTCACTGCATGTGAAGCGCTTAGCAGGGCAGCTGAAAGTGGAAATGGGGTTCATGAGGTCAGTAGTTACTGTTTATTACTCTTGCTATTGTTATCATATGGTGGCCAGAACACTGCTGGGATGAGCCGAGAGACTCGCCAGACCCCAGGTGCCCTCACAGACACCTGGAAACATGCCCCGTCCTGCCCAGCACACGGTTTTCAGGGGGCTGCATTTCCCCCTCGTGGCAATCCTTTCAGGTATTCCAAAGGACTGCCATGACTACCCTGCTTTACAGATGAGACAACTGAGGCACAGAAAGGTCAAGTGACTTGCCCAAGGTCACACAGCTAGTAAGTGCCAGTGCCCAAGCCCACACCCTTCACCACTGCACCTGGGAAACCCACATGTGGGGCTTGGCTGCAGCGGCCACCCTCCTCCACTTCTTTTGTCTACTTAGCTGTCACTCTGCCCGTGGCCCCAGGCCCCTCCCCTCTAGCCTCCAGGATAGTGGGCCTCAGCCTCTTCTGCAAGTTCTGATCAAAGACCTTCCTGGGTCTCCAGAGCCCCTGCTCCACCAGACCTGGGGCCAGGCTGCTCCTGCCCAGTGGCCTGGCTTGGTGGCCTCTCAGGCCCAGATGTGCCACCTTCCTAAGTCCCAGTGGTGCCCCATCAGCTGGCCCTAAAGCCCCTCCTCTGCCCACACTGGGCCCCAGGAAGAGAGGCCAGCTCCTCCGGGCACAGGGTGTGCGGCCAGCACCAGTCCAGAGCCCAGAATCCAGGCACGATACCTTATAAGGCCTCCGGGAATGGGAAAACCACATCAAAGCAGCCTTGGGGAGCGAGCTGGAGTTTGGTTGGGGTTTTTCCTCTGTCTTTGAGACTTCCTACTCCTGAATGTAAGATCTTCCCCCACCGCCTGCCCCAGCAGTGCTTTGTCAATCTTTCTGTTCTCTAAGAGCTAACAGATGTTGGTGCCACGGGTTTCAAAGCAAACTCCCAGTGCCCACAGAACACGGCACAACTCACAGATTCCAAGAATGTACAGGGTTGGGACGTGCCGGGGAAAGAGGAGGGGGGCAGGGCCCAGGCCACCCTGTAACCCTTAGATCCAAGCAGCCTACCCTGGAGCTGCCCCAGGAAATTCCTGGCAAGCTCTCTCTTCCCAGTACGCTGAGGCCGCAGCCCGGCCAGGCGCTCTCCAGGCCTTGCTGAGAGCAAGCTCTTGCCTTCCTCTTGTCCCCTCTCAGGAGGCAGGACAGGGATGCTCCA